AACACATAATTTTTACTTAATTAATTTTAGCTTTTCATGTACATACACTTGTTTTATCAATTATGTAATGCGCAGGTGAGCATCTCCCTATGGAACCTCGCGCAATATAAATTTAAATAATAATAATAATAATAATAATAATAATAATAACCACATGAAAATTTACACTATAGAAATGCTAGTCGTTTATTGTGTATTTTTCTCTTCACCAGGTTTTAAAAGAAGTGACAGTATCCGCTCAAGCTGCCGAGAAAGTCAAAGCTCAAGTGCAGAAAGTCAAAGATAAAGCTCAAGTCATTGTCGATGGAATTGCGGTCAGTATTTGTGCTGTTGTCTGATTATAATTTCACCTCAGTCGAGAAGAGTGCTCCCAGTTTGACTCTACCAAACAATGTAGGTTTTCTCGGCGTACTTTAGGTTCCTCCTGTCGTAACACTTGAACTAAGGTTGGTCCTTACTGGACCTGCAAAGAGCACAAACAGTTTAGAACTGATGTAACTATGTTTAGTTCATACATAATAAGGCATGTTCATTGAATCTCGTTCTAGGCGGACAAGGCTGTTGCCGAAGGTAAACTAGAAGCTGCTAAACCAGCGTTGGAAGAAGCCGAAGCTGCATTACAGGTTTGATTCAATACCCTAGTTCACTCTCGCTTTAAGCAACGTTTTATTCGTAGGTTTCAGTAAGCGTTACAGAGCAGAACTTCAGAAATTTTGACACTAAAAAGACCACGAAAATTAAATCACATCTCTCTATTTTTATTCATCTGCCACCAAATACGACTATACCTCATATAACCGCCAGTGGACCACCGTCTGCTGCATACGATAGTTCTCAGTACGACCCACCAAATTGTGTTGTACATTAAGATTGATATGTTTTCACTTTTTTCTGACCAGACTATAAAATCTCAACACATCGCAACAGTTCGTCGTCTGGCTAACCCACCACATCTGATCACGCGCATTATGGACTGCGTGTTGATGTTATTCAGAAAAAGACTGGACCCGGTCGTGTATGATCCAGAGAGAAACTGCGCTAAACCATCATGGGGAGAATCTTTGAAGGTCAGTGTATATGAAGTTACTCTTCTCCTTTTACACAGTTCTAGACTGACATGAAGTCGGCCGCTCATGTCCTCCATCCTTTCTGTCTTTTGTCATGTCCACCCTCAGTTCCTTGATATTTCTTCTTCCATCTCTTCTTCACCATCTCCCCATCCTCGGTTGCTCTTTAATATCCAGCTTCTTAATTTCTTTGAATGACTCTCCTTCATCTCTTCTAACAGTGTGTCCATATCATCTCTCCCTTGCTTTCCTCACCTTCTCTGCAATGTCTACCACCCCCACATCTTCTGATCTCTTCATTCCATAATGTCTCTGACAAACTCTCCTTCATCTGTTTTGATTACGTGCCATGCCATGTCAAACTTGCTTCCCCACCTTCTCTGCAATGTCTACCACCTCAAATCTTCTGATGTGCCACAAATGATTCATATTTTGTGCAGTTAATGAGCAGTGGCAACTTACTTCAATCTCTGATGCAATTTCCGAAAGACATCATCAATGACGAGATGGTTGAGCTGGTAGCACCGTATCTGGAAATGCCAGACTATAATATTGAAACTGCGCGAAAGGTAAGCCATTGACTCAAATTCTTTAGTGGCGCCTGTGACTGGCCTTCTATTCCTAAAGTATTATAATTTCACCTCAGTGAGAAAACATTCCACCATATTTTATTTCCGTTCGTCTGCAATAACATTGCATCAATAATAAGGGATGACCCTTACTGGACCTCTTGAGAGAACAGTTTAAAAATGATAGAACTGGTAGAGCTACGCAGTGTATCTCTAGTTATGTTATATATTTTTTGTTAGGTTTGTGGTGATGTGGCTGGCCTGTGTTCCTGGACGAAAGCAATGTCGGTTTTCTTTGGTATCAATAAAGAAGTTTTACCACTCAAAGTAAGCAGAACGATTTTACCTGTATATATTTGTCTGTCATGTTTAAAGGCGTACAATTTAATTGACTTTTATTTTATATTTTTATATATAATATGTGTTATATTATTTTCGTTGTTTTCATTTTTATATACAGCAGTTCCATAAGATTAGAGAGAGAGCTACAGTAGAGAGAAAGCAGAAGAAATTAGTGTACCAGTCTTGTTACAGTGATCGATAGTTTACAGGTGATTAGGAAGGTAGATCTTAAAGCCTGGTTTACACTATCAAAGTTTCTGTGATCACAGTGGAATTTTGCATGGATAAATTCTAAGTTTTGAAGGATTTGTAAGAAATGTTTGAGGGAACTAACTTAGTGTTAAACACTGAATCGGTTTCCTCAAACATTTCTTACAAATCCTTCAAAACTTAGAATTTACTGATGCAAAATTCGTACTGTGATCACAGAAACTTTGATTGTGTAAACCAGGCTTAATTGTAAGGCAAGATGTAGTAAGAAAAACCTACAGTCTTGAAAAAGCTTGGTGCATATTCCCCATGCTGTTGTTCTACGTAAATATTAAAGAAATGTTATTCTCGCCCAGGCGAACCTGGCTGTCCAAGAGGCGCGTCTCGCTGTTGCAATGAAAGATCTCAATGAAGCTCAAGCAGAACTGGATGCAAAACAAGCCGAACTTGACGAAGTTCAAGCTCAGTATGAGAAAGCCGTTAGAGAGAAACAGGTCAGCCATTCGTACCTTCTAAAATGATAAAATGCTAGCTCAGAATTACCATGTTTTGTATGTTGTAATCTATTAAAATAAGAATAAAAACACTTCAACAAACAAAAATGTTTAACATCTCTGTGCGTTTGCAGACATTACTCGATGACGCTGACTCGTGTCGTCGTAAAATGCTCGCAGCCTCGGCGCTCATCGGTGGTCTGGGCGGCGAGAAGGAAAGATGGACGCAACAAAGCAAAGAATTTGATGTTCAGATTGGAAGGTTTGTAGTCCTTTGTGGAAACACAGCAGTATATTCAATTTCAACCAGCCCCAACAAACATAGAAAGCGCATTTTTACAAGTTTTTTCCTGAACTGTCTTTGTCCGTGTAGGTAGTGGCAATAATAAGAAAGTTTCGAACTGATAGGGATACAACTACATGAAAAATACATGAAGGAGAACTTATTTCTTGAAGGTGGTTGCATCAGTGGCGTAACTACTATGGGCTCGGACCGGGCGAACCCGGGGGCCCCCAACCCCAATGGGCCAAATGGGGGCCCCCAAGCTCAGGCTGTGAAGCAAAAACATTGGCCAGGGCCTCTGATATGTCACAATGTCGTTTTCTGACCATCAGAATTCTGTAACATCTCTCCCCAAAGTCTGGGAAATGGTATTTCAGAGAGTCTAGATTCGAAAATTTTCTGGGTGAGCATGCCCTAGACCCCTAAAAACTCGTGCATATACGGCGCTCGACTTGTGCCTTTGGCACTTCTACTAGGGGGGCGTTCGAAAATTTTGAACCGGGGGCCCCCTGATATAACGTTACGCCACTGGGTTGCATCCAGGTAGTTGTATTGTGTTATGAAGGTGGTAGCATATTTTTTCTTTGTTTCTCGCAGGTTGGTAGGCGATGTCTTAGTCGCCACAGGATTTCTATCTTACGCTGGTCCGTTTAACCAAGAGTACCGTGATGCATTGCTGTCGTCTTGGCAGAAGGAAATGAGAACAAGAAAAATTCCTAACTCGAAAGATCTGAACGTCACTGGCATGCTGGTGGATAGCGCTACGGTAAGACAGAACACGTGTGGACAATGGCGAACACTTGTGAACTTTTGAGGGGGGGAGGGGGGGGGGATTTCATCAATACATTGCTTAATTTATAGTTTACCAATGCTTTCATGGTTGAAAATTTAAAGGCTGTCAGAAATTATTGTGGTGAGGGGGGTGCCCTCCCCCCTAGTGTTTGCCACTGCTTGTAGACAATTAGATCGTGTAGGAGTATCACATGAATGTTTGTACTGTCTAAACTTTTCCCACCCATATCAATGAGGTGTTGGGATGCTAGTTAAACCTGCAACAACAAGTGTTATCAATAATGGTAATAAGTATGTTTCACAAATGGGAAAAAACTCACAGCAAAAGATCCTTCATAATTAAGGTGATACTGAAGAATTTTATCTTCACGTATTTTTCTGGAATTTCTTTCCCAGGTGAGTGAATGGAACCTTCAAGGTCTGCCAAATGACGAACTTTCAGTACAAAATGGGATCATTGTCACACAGGCTGCGCGCTTTCCGTTACTCATTGATCCACAGGGTCAGGGAAAGGCCTGGATACGAAAGAAAGAACTGCAGAATAATCTTCAGGTAATGTTGATAATGATGATTAACTAGGGTAATTAATAAATTAGAATCAGTGGGAACGTCTTTTAAGATGTCATTCCCAAATTACTACTCCATCGTTTGTCACATATTTTGTCAGTTTTCATTCAAAAATACGGACAAGTGCCTGTAGTCCGCCCGACCTTCTTATTAAGCAAGCTTTGATTTAAGTTAAAACGATGAACGTTTTGCGCTGAAATTGTTTTGTATGTATTCCCTCTCTAGGTGACGTCATTAAATCATAAATATTTCCGGAATCATTTGGAAGATTGTATGTCTCTTGGCAAACCATTGATGATTGAAGATGTTGGAGAAGAATTAGATCCAGCCTTGGACAATGTCCTTGAGAAGAATTTTATAAAGTCTGGTAGTACTTACAAGGTACGTTTGTTAAAGCAGTGGGCTTTTCTCTCAAAAATAATTTCTTAAAAAAGTTCAAATGCAGCCGAGCTATGGAATGTACCGTTATGGAATGTACCGGTCGATGTTAGATAGGCTCCATCGATTTATGAATAAACCGTCCAGTTCTCATTGAGCTGCGTCACCACCACCTTGTAAATATCGTAATAATTATTCATTTGTTATTGTAGTTATGTGTTTGTATAATTGTCAATGATTGTTTTTTCACATGTGTATAGTCCGGACGCTCCACAATGGGGGGGCTAGCGTCATTAAATAACATTTTAAATAAAAATAAAAGTTATTTGAATTTAGGTAAAAGTTGGTGACAAGGAAGTGGATGTGATGGACGGATTTGCATTGTATATCACGACAAAGATACCGAATCCTTCTTACACTCCCGAGGTTAGATTATTTGCTTATTCTTTTGTACCCTTGATTTTACGTTTCCGTACCCCTATTATTAATAGAGAGGTTCAAAATTGACTTCCGCTACGATTAGGGGACCATTAACCAATCAGATGCGTCTGATATATCCGATTAACCAATCAGATTCGTTTGATATATCTGATTAACCAATCAGAAGCGTACTAAGCCAATGAGATGTAGTGGTGGTGGAAGTCAAATCTGAACCTCTCTATTTTCATTAGCATGTGTAAGGGAAGACATATTGTCACCTATACTGCAAGAACGATAATTGAATCAAACGCAAGAACTCCCTTTACAAATGGCAGAACTCCCTTTACAAATGCCAGAACTCCCTTTTCAAATGCCAGAACTCCCTTTTCAAATGCCAGAACTCCCTTTCAAATGCCAGAGCTCCTTTTTCAAATGGCAGAACTCCCTTTTCAAATGCCAGAACTCCCTTTTCAAATGCCGGGACTCCCTTTTCAAATGCCAGAACTCCCTTTTCAAATGGCAAAACTCCTTTTTCAAATGGTACAACTCCCTTTTCGATGTTTTTCCAGGTTAGTGCGAAGACGGCAATTATTGACTTCACCGTGACAATGAAAGGTTTGGAAGATCAATTACTTGGCAGAGTTATCCTCACCGAGAAAGCGGTAAGATTGTTTTAATGTTCATTTTATCTTTAATGTTGACGTGTTTCATGAAATATACTAAGAATGGCACTGGGGCCTTATTCTCATAATTACAACGTTCTAAGAATCGTGTTTGTTTTCTAGGAACTGGAGTCAGAGCGAACAAAATTATTGGAAGATGTTGCCATGAACAAACGGAAGATGAAGGAACTCGAAGATAATTTGCTTTATCGATTGACCAGTACCAAGGTAATAAAAAAGACTTTATAGAAAGAGGAAAATTATTTCTAAGCTAAGGTATTTAGTAAATTATTTCTAAGTTAAGCTATTTAGTTTATCTAAACTAGCTAAATTGAATTATTTAGACTGGCATTTCAACTCTTTTCCCTAGATTCTTGCCTCTATTTTAACCAGTGATTGAATACGATTTTTACAATGATCTCCTATACTTCATGTAGGGTTCCTTGGTTGACGATGAGTCACTGATCGAGGTCCTGAGTACGACAAAATCAACAGCTGAGGATGTGAGCCAGAAGTTAGTCGTGGCAGCGGATACAGAGATTAAAATCAACAGTGCTAGAGAAGAATTCAGACCAGGTGAGGGACACAAACACTCGACGCACTTGTGTCTTCTGGGCATACCTAGGGTAAATTATCATTAGATAACTGCATATTGCAGGAATCTCTTGCCTGTCATAGAGGTGAACGTCACATGCATTATAATACTGTGGCACCAATGTCCCTTGATGGAACTAAAATTTATTTCCATTCTTTCCCCAGTGGCCACGCGTGGTAGCATTCTATATTTCCTGATTGTTGAAATGTCTATGGTGAACTGTATGTACCAGACGTCTTTGAAGCAGTTCCTGGGGCTGTTTGATATGGCTATGGCCAGGTAAAAGACGAAACTTTATTTATACTGGATAGCTCAGTTCTAAAGTATTCTCCTTACATGTCCAGTAATGACCATTATACTATTGTAATTTTTCCACCAGATCAAGTGCTTCTCCGATAACATCGAAACGAATCGCGAACATTATTGAATACTTGACGTATGGTGTGTTTGCTTACTCTGTCCGAGGACTTTATGAGAAAGACAAATTCTTGTTCACACTTCTTCTCGCTTTGAAAATTGATCTACAAAATAAGAGGATCAGACATAACGAGTTCCTCACTTTGATCAAAGGTTGGTGCTTTTCATTGAACGCTTTTTAATAGAGCAAATCATCTAGCACAGTTCTATGCTTGCTGCAAACCAATCCACAACTCGGGATAACTCGCATGCCTAGCTAAAAGTGCGTGTCTTTACTTAAGGTGGCGCTGCCCTGGATCTCAAAGCAGTCCAAGCTAAACCATGCAAGTGGATAACAGACATCACTTGGTTGAATCTTGTGGAACTTTCGAAACTGCCACAATTCTCTGACATCCTTAATCAGGTATGGCGTTTGTTTTCTCCTACTGAAAATCTTTTAAAAGTAGTGTGACGAAGGGCCGTCGCTCAAAACGTCAAAGTGTAAATATTAAGTTTTCTTTATTTTGCAGGTATCACGGAATGAGAAAGCGTGGAAATCGTGGTTTGATAAAGACGCCCCAGAAGCTGCGGAAATACCTGATGGTTATCACAATTCCTTAGACACTTTCAGACGTTTGCTTTTAATACGGTAAGAGCAAGATGACCGTCGTAGGCTAATAGGCTTCTAAAATGAACAGTCACAGATGAAAAACATTCTCCAGTTTAACGCGAAACTTCACTGTAACAAACATTCGAAGGTTTCAATGAGCACAGCCAATCAGCATAGGACCAGTTAAACATGCTTAGAACAAACATGGGGGTAACGAGTGAGTAAACGTGATTTATGTTAATTTTACACAATTTTCTTGCAGATCTTGGTGTCCTGATCGTACTCTGTCCCAGGCCCGTAAATACATCTCTGAGTCGCTCGGTCCATCATACGCCGAGGGCGTGATCCTGGATCTGGAGAAAACGTGGGAGGAAAGTGATGAACGCACCCCCCTGATTTGTTTTCTTTCTATGGGATCTGATCCTACGAACTCCATCGAGTCTCTGGCAAAGAGACACAAACTGGGTAAGAATTTTCAAGTCATTTGTATGATATAGTATGGGATGCAATAGCGATTAGTGAACTAAAGTAAGTAAGCTCCAGTAGATGGTGGTCAACTAGCAATTATCAGAGTGAGAAAATAATGTTAATTCTATCATTATGCGTGTTGTAGTCTTATATAAATGAGAGGTTTAGTTTAATTTTCTTACTCCTATAAGTTTGGCGATCAACTTGCTCCCTGCTAACTATAATCCAGTATTCAATATATACAACTTTAGCGCCCCTTTTCCAAGTGAAGTAAGTATAAGATTGTAAAACTAAAGTTTTATATAAAATGAATTTGTCTAATTTATAGAATTTCGGGCAATATCGATGGGCCAGGGTCAAGAAGTGCACGCAAGGAGATTGCTCAATCAGTTTATGCAAGCGGTAAGAACAAGTGTCTAAACTGTTCTCCCTGGAGGTCCAGTAAGATTCATCCCTTGTTGATCCAGTGTTACCACAAGAGAAAACCTAAACTAAATGAACTCTATTTATACTGGATAGCTCTATCAGTTGCAAACGTTCTTCCTAGAAGTCCAGTAAGAGCCATTCTTTATTGGTTCGGTTTTACTACAAGAGAAAACAAGAATATCAGAAAATCCCTGCGGTGTTTAGCAAAATCAAACTGGAAGCGCTCATCTCACATGCAACTGAGATGAAATTCTACTCGCATAATACAGGAACGGAATGGAACCTTTGAAAAGGAATGGAACTCCGTCATTGAAAGGCACATGTACAGAGCACAAGTTGTGGCAATACTCTATCTAAATGTATTTCTCTCTTTATGTAGGGAGGCTGGGCGGCCCTGCAGAATTGTCATCTTGGTTTAAATTTCTTGGATGAACTGATAGACCTTATCGTTGATACAGAAAATGTACATCATGACTTCCGGTTATGGATTACCACTGAAGTTCATCCCCAGTTCCCTATCGGTCTGTTGCAGGTAAGCATACAGGACACAAAAACATATAATACATATAGGCAGAGGTAGTCTTGGGGAACAAAAAACCTAACTACAATATCACCAAATACAATAGCAACAATCTACTGGGTGCTACTGTATTTGCATCCAAATACAATACGGCCATCTGATAATGCTTGCGTAAAACTGCCTCTTCATCTGAAACTACTTCAAATCTCAATACACTGGATGTGGCTGGTGACACTCAATGTTCTTTAAATAATTTATTTCTCCAGATGTCCATCAAATTTACGAATGAGCCTCCTCAGGGTCTTAAAGCCGGTCTGAAAAGAACTTACAATGGTAAAATTTTATTTCACTTTTTCCCTTGTCTTGTGACTAAATGTTTTATCACATTTGACAGAGATTAATTTTCTAAATAACTTCAGGTATTTCCCAAGACCAGTTGGATGTCTGCAGTCTTCCTCAATGGAAACCCATGCTTTATGCTGTTGCATTCCTACATTCTACTGTCCAGGTAAGAGAGAGAGAGATATATAGAGATCTGTGAGGAAAAACACCTCAATGGTGACCCAAACACCTCAATGGTGACCCAAACACCTCAATGGTGACCCATGGTACTACGGTTTCCTCCCGCTGGAAAGTCTTTAGAACATCTCTAGATGAATGTTCTCTACCTACTGAGCTATCCTCAATTTTAGTACAAGCGTCCATGCAATGGCCGTATTGTTAAGATACTAGAGAGTTTCAGATTTGACTTCCACTACCGCTACCTCACATGCATCATAAGGACGCATCTGATTGGTATTGGAAGTCAAATGTGAACCTTTCTGAACCTTGTACAAGACATTCCGTGTTTGTTTACATTCTTCCTTCGTTCGTCCTTCTCAGGAGCGTCGTAAATACGGTCCTCTGGGCTGGAACATTCCGTATGAGTTCAATCAAGCTGACTTCACGTCCAGTGTTCAGTTTGTTCAGAACCATCTCGATGATATGGACTTGAAGAAAGGCGTGTCATGGAACACTGTCAGGTATATGTTAGGAGAAGTCCAGTATGGAGGACGAGTCACGGATGATTTTGACAAACGACTGCTGAACACGTTTTGTAAGGTGGGTATCCTCGGCTTGTTTATTGGTAGATGTCACTGAGCCTTATATGTAGCTGGAACGAGAACTCGAGTGCAAAAAGGTTTTCATTTGTTTCCATCTACCAATCTGACATTACGTCATTTGATCAATTTCGGAAGTTGTTTCTTTTTGGATTTTTTTTATTCATTTGGTGAGGGTTAGGGTTAAGGGTTAGTTACATAGCCATTTAACACATCTTCCAAAAATGACGTCAACGTCAGTTTGGTAGATGGAAACAAGTGCTGACCGTCCAAAAAGCGGGCCCAAACTGCAGATTAACTCTGGTGTTATATCTTTTAGGTTTGGTTCACAGATGCCATGTTCAGTGCGGGATTTAACTTCTACAAGAAGTACACCATTCCAAAGTGTAATTCAGTCGCTCAGTATCTCGATAACATTGATACACTAGCCTTGGTCGACACTCCTGAAGTGTTTGGTCTTCATCCCAACGCAGATATCACGTAAGTTTTTGACAATACTAGGAGTTACTACCGCAAGGAAAGTGCTGCCTCACCAAAGACAGCATGCACAATTTGCTGAATAAGGGGCTGTTTATATGATCCCGCTTTGTCAGGGCAAGATGTCAGGCGCGATTATTTTGATGTATTGAAATAAGTTATGGTGTACGATTCAGCAAAAAAACTACATTATATCTAGAAATAGATTATAGTTGATTATAAACGAAAGGTTGTTCAAGCGGCGGCAATAACAATCTTCTTGAACTACAAGATCTTCTCTACAACGTGTGAGTATTTGTATTAATACGAAACTTTGTGGCACTAATGGGCATTGCCCAAGGACAAATTGATTAAATTTTGTTTAAATCTGTATGAAAATTGAGTGAGAAATTAGCAAAGTTTGTCCTGCTTTGCCGGACAGACACACGAATCATGTAAATTATATTTTTTGTAATTATCCTCAGTTACCAAAGCAATGTTGCGAAAAACTGTCTGGACACCATACTCAGTATTCAGCCCAAAGACAGCTCGGGTGGTGCCGGAGAGACTCGGGAATCAGTCGTGAATCGTCTGGCTGATGATATGTTGGAAAAACTTCCTGAGGATTATATCCCACATGAGGTTAGTGACAGATAGTTTAGACCTAGGGCCTTCTAGTTATATTTCAGCGCTTTTTCGGAACTTTTTGATCACTATATCATGACTGGATGGCATGGAAAACAGTGGGAATTTCAAAACAATAAAAGACATTGAAACATTCTGATCACTGGATCATGACTGAATGACATGGAGAACAGTGGAATTTTCAAAACAATGAAAAGACAATGGAACATTCTGATCACTGGATCATGACTGGATGGCATGCAAAACAGTGAGATTTTCAAAACAATTGAAAGACCTATAATAGTTTTGTTTGTGGAAACACCACGTAAATTTATTACTGCAGTAATAAATTTACGTGGTGTTTCTACAAACAATAGTATTATATGTTTTATCGCCATGCAAACCTACAAAGAACTAATTAAAAGACCATGGATCAAATTCCGCGGACGCGAAATTTAGTCCAGTCCTCATAGTCGAATTTGAAATACTCCATCAAGGTTTTCCGCAGTTTCATATGAACACGTCCCTTCCAAATACAATCAACATTGTGTTGTTTTTGATGAAGGTGAAATCACGTCTTGAAAAGATGGGTGCTTACGCTCCGATGAACATCTTCTTACGTCAAGAACTCGATCGAATGCAACGTGTGATCACGGCGGTGAGGGAAACTTTGACAGATCTCAAACTTGCCATTGATGGCACCATTATTATGAGTGAAGTAAGTACAAGATATTTTTTAAGCAGAATTGTTGGTAAATAATTCAGTATGGAGTTGGTATTTCTACATATCATTTGTTCTTCAGGTCCTACGTGATACTCTTGACTGTATGTATGATTCCAGAGTTCCAAAACATTGGCAAAAGGTTAGTATTTGAAATAATTAAAATGTCGAAATGTTCACTGCGAGTTTTCTGTATTAAATTAACATGAAATATCTTACTGGATCTTTAGGGAAAACAGTTTAGAACTGATAGAGCTATCCAGTATAAATAAAGTTAGTTTAGTTTAGGTTTTCTCCTGTAGTAACACTGGATCAATAAGAGATGATCCTTACTGGACCTCTAGGAAGAACAGTTTAGTACTGATAGAGCTATCCAGTATAAATAAGTTAATTAAGATGGTGATATCGTTTATCCATGAAATTCTCGTTTCCCCCAGGTGTCGTGGGATTCCTCGACTCTTGGTTTCTGGTACACGGAGCTTCTAGAACGTAATCTACAGTTTCGAAGTTGGATACTTGATGGCAGACCAAACGTTTTCTGGATGACAGGATTCTTCAACCCTCAAGGTTTCCTGACAGCGATGAGACAGGTAAGTACGTTGCGTTGTGTGAAAAAAACGTTGTGTGTGATTTTCTTGCGTTACATGTGAGTTAAGATTTATTTTAAAACTTGCGTCACAATAAGTGCTTTTTTCTCGCCACAATTCCGCAAATAGTATGTTAGCAAACTTCGATATACTTTAAAAGAATTGGAATAAACCTGCGCTTTGTTCAAAGTTTTGAAAGAGATTTATCTTTCACATACTTTGATCAACAAATATTTTGTCAAATTAATTTGAGTAAACAGCAACGATGTTTGCTTCCTGGGTTAAATAAATGAATGTAATTGCCAAACAAATTGCATTCACCACACAATGTTTCAACACTCCAGACTTGTGTCTTCATGCAAGCAGGTATAATCACAGACATGTTTCGTTCTTCTGGTTTGAGTAAATGAATGTAATCCCTAAACAAATCATCGGTCCATTGTCTGAGACAAACCAGCGCCGTCAACTGCACGCAAACGTGAGTTTTTATCTCGTGTATAAATATTTTTTTAAAGGAAGTAACTCGAGCACACAAGGGTTGGGCTTTAGACTGCGTTGTTCTACACAACGATGTAACTCGCTTCTACAAAGACGATGTTTCTCAACCTCCCACAGAGGGAGTCTATGTGTACGGCCTATACCTGGACGGCGCAGGCTGGGACCGTAGAGGCTCGAAACTTATCGAACCTGCCGCGAAGGTGTTGTTCACGCCACTTCCGGTTATACATATCTACGCCATCAATTCGACAGCGCCACGAGATTCCCGGATGTACCAATGTCCCGTATATAAGAAACCTCGCCGGACGGATTTGACGTACATTGCTGACGTCGAACTAAAAACCAATCAGAATCCAGATCACTGGATACTCCGGGGGGTTGCACTGCTTTGTGATATCAAGTGATGACGTCATGAGATGATGACTTCATAAGGATGATCACGCCATCAGATGACGTCATGAGATTATTTTATGATCAAGTTAGGAAATTTTTGTTTAAAAGTTAAAACACTACAGTGGATATTATCGTTAAGCTTGGTGTTGCTAATATGTTTGAATCGGCTGATATCTTACAAAATATCTTATTGATAGCTGACAATGTTTAACAGGCTGTTTTGCAGTTTAAACCCAACATAACCAAAGCTTAATTTTAATATTCACTCCATAGTGTTTCGTCAAATAAACTATAAAACGATATGTTAATTAAAATATATACTCTGTAGTAAATAATTGTATTGCAATGCACATTCCCAACTGTATAAAGCACGTTCAAACCTGATATTGCTGTAAATAATCTCAAGGCCATGCATTACAAATATTTTATGATTAATTCTTAGCAGTTTTACTTTGTAAATAAACCTAAATAAGCTATATGTAAATAAAGTTCTACTTATTTATTTCGATTTTATCATGTGGTGCTTTTGTAATGCTTTTTGTTAAAACTTATTCCGACATTTAAAATGCCACAATAAAGCAATCGTGACTACGTTTAAATGAACTACTACTATTGCGCCCACTGACACTGAAAGCTACAATTAATTGCTACATGTGATTCTCCACTTTTTCTTTCGTCCAGTCGACGCCCATAAAAAGTCCATCTCGCCAATGCACTTTGTTTCGGCTGAACTATCCAGAAATTTTGTTTCAACCTCCAAACTTTTCAAGCAAAAACAGCAGCTGTGACAACAACAAAAATCAATGGAAAGAAGAGCAGGAAAAATCTATCGAGAACTCTCGCGACGTTTTGCCATTTTAGTTGCTTTGCTTCACGTTTCTGCCTCATACTAACATCATTCGTTAGCACAGCGAGCTCATCACGTAGCTTCTGCATTGTTGTATGATTGCTTCGCGCTGTTTTCGTGTCATCCGAGAGCTTTACTTCATTTAAGCTTATGTCTACTGTCTTTGGATGACCATTTAATTTGATAAGTTTTGGGACTTCATCATAGCCTTCAATCGCATTCGACATAAAAAGCAAACGTGCGAGACGTTTATTCACAAGTTTGTCAAGCCATTTAGGTATTTCAGATTCGTGGTCGCGAATTTTTGCTATGAAACAGGTTGCTAGCAGACAGAGCGCTGTTTCGACAATAATACACAGAAAATACGTCCCAATGACAGGCATCGCGTCAGAGGTCTGCGGCAAGGTCGATGAAACAATGAGCATATACACAGACATTGCAAGCAGAACGGTGATAACCAGCGAAATTCGTTCCCCGTGATTTGAAGGCAGCGCAAATGACAAGAAAGCTAAAGTAGCGATGACAGTACACGGAAGGATGAGATTCAGCGTGTAATACAGCGGTTGCCGTTTAATGTGGAGCGTTAACGCGACCTCTGTATACGGAATACCAGAATAAGGTTTGACAAACCGTTCCATAGGGTATCCCAGGACATCCCATTCTCCGTTTGGTAGAAAATCTTTGACGTCAGCCCCGGCGGAGTCCACGTCTATCTTTAGAGCTGAATAAGTCCATGAGCCAAATACCAACTGACATTTCTAATAATTATAATAATAATCTCAAATATAACCTGATGGATACCTCTCTAAAATCATGGACCCACAGGCACCTCTCTAATATGGACACCTCTCTAATAAGGGTACTCTTCTATTACGAGCACTTCTCTAATACGGACACTTCTTCACGAAGCTTTTCACAAAGCAAGAAGGGGATTACCTGTTCATCAAAAGGAAACCGTCGGACATTTATTTTACATTGGGAGAGTAAAGTCGCCGGCGATAACCACGTGCAGTTTCCATCATAATCCAGTACGACTGATGTACTCAACCTCGTATACAAGATGTCTATGTCTTCCTCAAGGCTCGCTCTAGAAACCAAGGATCTTATTGTTAAACATAGCGTTGCTATGAAGACAATAGTACAAGTAAAGTTCTGATAGAAACGATATAAAGGTGAGTATAAGAAGACTATATCATGACACATTTTTAGCTGTTCTCCCTAGAGATAAGTATCATCCCTTATTGGTCCGGTGTTACTACAGGAGGAAACCTAAACTAAACTAAACTAACTTTATTTATACTGGATAGTTCTATCAGTTCTAAACTGTTCTTCCTAGAGGTCCAGTAAGGATCATCTCTTATTGATCCAGTGTTACTACAGGAAGAAACCTAAACTAAACTAATTATATTTATGCTGGATAGCTCTATCAGTTCTAAACTGTTTTCCCAAGAGGTCCAGTAAGGATCATCCCTTATTGGCCAAAGTACTCAAAGAAAACCTGCGGTGTTTGATAGAATCAAACTGGAAGCACTCTTCCAGCATGCAAAATGTAATCAGACAACTGGATATTGCAGAAATGGAACCCCGAAGGCATTATCCCCCATCAACACCTCCCGTACACTCAAAACCAAGGGTCGTATTACAAATGTGCCTATTTTTCACTCACTTGTTATACATTGAAATATCAGGTGTCCATAGTAGGCCATTGTCAAGATGAACACTGGTGATATTGCCATAATCTGCTGGATCCCAGGTCAAGTATGGATTATTCCAGTATAGTCGCAACCATACGTTCAAGCGCAGAGCTTGATTTACTTCGTCCTGTAAGGTAAGAAGAGAAAGGAGCATTTATAGCAAGTCCTTATTGAACAGTTTAGAACTGAACAGAGTTATTCAGTACAAACAAACATAGTTTCCGAACAAATTACGGGGGAGAGTTTAGAACTGGGTGGCCAGTCAGTATAAATAAAGTTTATAGATTTGTTCAGTTTTCTTCCTGGAGTAACACTGGATCAATACACGGTGGTCTTTGCTCACCACTGGAACCCTACGGAGAACAGTTTAGAACTGATAGAGTTATCCAGTTTAAATAAAGTTAGTTTAATTTAGGTTTCCTCCTGTAGTAACACTGGATCAATAACTGATGATCCTGACTGTTTCTCTCAGTTTAGAACTGATATTAGTGATATATATATAACAATAGCATCGTTCCAGTATAAGTTACGTTATATAAATTTAAATTAGATTATCCATAGTTGACAAAGTTCAGACCAGTTTCAATTATATTTTCTAGAACATATATATGGATTGATTTTATATGGATTGTATTTTGAGATGTTATCTTACCACTGTTGCAATTTGTCTTATTCCAACCTTAATTCTCAGAAGGACTGGTGCTGAGCTGTTAGCCATGGGTAAGATTTCTTTTCTGATGTCAGAATTTAAAACTATTTTGCTGATCAACTTTTCTTGTGCTTCGAAGTGACTTGTGTGATTTCCTAAACATAACGTAATGTTTCTTTTGTTTGCTTTTGTGTTGTTTAACTTTGTGTTGTTTACTGTGTGCTTGTTAGTTGTTTGTTTGTTTGTTTTTTTGTTACTTGTTTATTAAGTGTTTTTGTTTGGTTTCACTGGTTTGTTTACTAGCGTGTTTGTTTATTTGTCTGTTATGTTTGCTTTGTTTACTTATATGTTTGTTTGTGTAGTAATCTTTTGTTTGTTTGTTTGTCTGTTTGTTTGTTTGTTGGTTTCACTGGTTTGTTTACTAGCGTGTTTGTTTATTTGTCTGTTATGTTTGCTTTGTTTACTTATATGTTTGTTTGTGTAGTAATCTTTTGTTTGTTTGTTTGTCTGTTTGTTTGTTTGTTTGTTTGTTTATTTGTTTGTTTGTTTGTTTGTTTGTTTGTTTTAGTTGCGTATATATGTTTGTTTTGTTTACTTGTGTGCTGTTTGTTTGTTTGTTTGTTTGTTTATTTGTTTGTTTGTTTGTTTGTTTGTTTGTTTGTTTGTTTGTTTGTTTGTTTGTTTGTTTGTTTGTTGCGTATATATGGTTTTTGTTTTGTTTACTTGTGTGTTTGTTTGCAATTCTTGGTTTTGTTTGTTTTTGTTTGTTTGTTTGTTTACGAAGACGTTAAACCTGGAGGTGAACATGAATAATAATAATAACAAAGCTTTCATTGGTAGGGATGCAACTACGTGAAAAACACAAGGAGAAATTTGACGTTTCGAGCGAAGGCCTTTCGTCGGTGGAAGTTAGCTGGGGGCCTTCGCTCGAAACGTCAAATTTCTCCTTGTATTTTTCACGTAGTTGCATACCTGTCAACGAAACCTTCGTTATTATTGCCTATTGGCACTATACTGGCACAGTTCTGAATAATGATAATCGTATTTTATCGTAATTATTACATTTAATACAATTCGTACCTGCATAAATATTTGAAACAATAACAACAATATATAAGAAGAGATTAAAATGAACTGTGTTGAACGCCATTTTGTCTGCAGTTATCTTCCCTTTGAAAACAATATTTCTGAACCTATGTAATTAAAAAGACATAAAATTGGTTTTCGACCTTTTTACGACAACTTCTGATTGCTTTTGGTCCGTGGCAGAAGCTTGGATAATATATTACGTCAAAAATGATGTTTTCTTGAGTCTTGTATATAACCGCGTGTACGACTATACGTGAAAATATTTCACTAAAGCTGTTTAATTGAGGCCACAGCTTGACTCTACAGCTACGTAAGCCGCACATTTCGTGCTATGAAACGCCATATGTTTCAGCAATATGCCAATAATGACTTTTCATTTAAATCACATACATTATTAATTCTTTATTTTTTTACTGTATCAATATTTAGCCTCTAGGGGAGGGCTTCATCGGCAGCTCATATATTAAGGACGCTAGAGGCTGAAACGTATGAAGTAAGTTTCATTTACTTTTAGTTTTACATTTCAGTTAGACTATTTGTTTGGTTTAGTAAGCATATTATGTTAGCATATATAGAATTATACTGCAGGCTGTATACCTAAGTTTTATTTCGGACTAAGAAAATGTTCTGTTCATTTAGCATGTCACTGTCTGGCGTAAATGTTTTTCTGATGTTTTCCAACTTAAATAACACTAAGATGAAACTGATTTAGGTTTCTTTCTATGAAGCCAAGTTGAAATTAAAGTTAAAATAGCTAAATATATATAATATATATATTTTATATGTATGTTAAATATATATATATATATATATATATATATATATATATATATATATATATATATATATATATATATATATATATATATATATATATATATATATATATATATATATATATATATATATATATATATATATATATATATATATATATATATATATATATATATATATATATATATATATACATATATATATATATATAATATATATATATAATATATATATATACATATATATACATATATATACATATATATACATATATATATATATTTATATATACATATATACATATACAGAAGGGCCTTCGTCGCATTAAAAGCTGTTAGATATTATCTCACGAATACTTGTTTGGCTGTGCGCATTATAGCCATTAGCAAACAAAAATTAGCAAACTAAAAATCCTATATTGGGCTATAATAGATATAATCATGCATTTAAATGATATACAATTTAAATTCTTACCGTAGCCTTATCTTTTTGTTTATAAAATCTTTTTATATACTCTCATCAGCTTCACCCATGCATGCAGTCTTACTAATAGTCTTGAAATAATTTTTACATCGTAACTGTTTTATTCCCATCTCGTATAGTTTTATATTATGATTTTAATATACATCAATCCATTTTTAGCCATGAATAATTTTAACACATCTTCTCAATATGCACGCCTAAGATCGGAATTTGAAAGCGTTGTCGCCCGATAAAGGCTACAAACATCTGTTCGAAAACTGAAGTGGTGTGAAGGAAGATATGGCGATAAAACTAATGTCTCCCGCTCTTTTCTCGTTGAAAACAATTTGAAGACTTTGAATGCTGTTACTCCGAGCCACGTTGGCAAAACAATAAAACTATTTAATTAAATTTAATGAAATTTTCCTAATAAAAAGCGGATAAAGCAATTGCGATACAAAATCATACTGACAGTTCAAACTAAACCGCTGCAGGAGAGTTCAAAAACACTGAATATAAAACTTCGTGCACCTATACGAAACAGGTGGCTGACGCGAAGCCGTGAATATACAACACAAAAAACATACAGTCTTAGTTTGGGATGAGAGCTCACTGGAGTCATTGCCATATAAGCATTACGAGATAGTCTATATTCGAGCATGGTAGTTTTGTTCATCGGTTGAGTTAACTGGGAAAGATACCTGGAGACGGAGTATAGGCAAGTTTTGTACAATATCAAGACATCGGGTATGCAAAATTCAAAAACTACCTGTTAGTCAAGCATATACAGTAAGTCTTATAATCCAGCAGTTCAAGAGTTCGAAGGCAACATCATATTCTAATTATGATTGTAACAATGATTTTGTAACTCACCTCGTAGAGTGTTGGACTAGCCAACTAAAGACCGCGGGTTTCACTGCAGCCAAGCAAACTTTTGCCCGATGTCGACACACTCAGAGCAGCATCTCATATTACTTTAAGGTGGCTCACATTCAAGCTCTGCATGATTTAAAGGCTTGGTTTCTGTGATCACAGTAGGGCCCAGTAGGAACGATTTGTAAGATATGTTTGAGGAACTGACTCAATGTTTAACACAGTATGTCAGTTTTTGTTGTTTTTCTTAAACATTTCTTACAAAATACAAAACAATAGATACTCCGAAAATTGAAAGCATTTTGAAAAATTTAAAATGATCATTCATTTCCTCATGATGACTATAGTTTAGTCGAAACGTCGAAATAAATTTTTCAAAATGCTTTCAATTTTCGGAGTATCTATTGTTTTGCATTGTATCAAAATACTCAGTGGTTCCCGTAATTTCTTACAAATCTTTCAAAACTTATCTAATTTACCGATGCAAAATTCCTGCATGCTGTGATCACAAAAAACCTCTGATAGTGAGATAGTGTAAGCCACGCAGCAGTGAGGGGCAATGACATGTATAGGTGTTCAAATATTACCCTATTTATATGTAAATTCAGATAGCTTACAGTCAACAACACGTCAACAATTTATCTTCCTGATGTATGCAGCCAATTTATAAAAGGTTGTGTGCAAACTCTAAACTTTAAACCTTACTCTAAGCGCGCAAAGCTTAATGATAGCACAAGTTTGAAGCTTAGTAGTTGAATATTGCAGCTATTTGTGAATGTATTGTTCTCGTAAGGAGATATTTACCATGTCTCTAAGAAATGGGCCCCACATATGATTTCGATGCTACCCATTATGCTTTGCACGCTTAGAATTTAAGGTTTAAGAATTAAGGCTTAGATATTTTTCTGTGTTGGTGTAATGTACTCAGGTGAATATGATGCTTGTGATGTTACTCTGAGTGTATATCCACACCGGGCATGCAGGATTGAAAAATATGCCTGGCCACGGTGGGAATCGAACCTTTAAGGTTTTTCAAAGGACACCAAAAACGTTCAATACTGATCCACTCTCAAAGAATGAACTTTAACTTAAGTGTGTAAGCATTAAGAGTGATTCTCAAATCACAACATATGATGCACATCATGGTTGCGCTTTCACATTCACTGACGTGTAAAGGGGTGATTCACATAGTATACGCACGCACTATTATGGAGTGGGAGTCGAAATATTTTCACTTCTTGCGTGACGTCATTTCTACTGTTCTTAATTGCGTTACAAGGGGGAGGGAGAACGTAAAAATTTCAAACTTTGTGTACGTAATACGAACGTCACCAAATATATACATCCTTTATTAAGTACTATTTAAAACATGAGAAGCCGATCTTTATCTGATATACAACGTGCTTAAAAAACGACCCATCTTGTGAGTTCATTGGCGAAGTAATTTTAAAAATAAACATTGTCTAAGCCGAGAAAATTAAAGCTGAAGTTTATGTAGACTTATATAAATCAGAACAAATCTTTATCCGATTTACAAACATTGATTAAACATTCATTTCTTTTGTATTTTCCTCGTGAATTATTAAATGAGATTTTTAAATGAGTTTAGAACTGTTTTATTTGTGACATAATGTCGCAATTATATCCATGCTCACGTGAACAATCGGAATTTACGTTAATTTTAGACTAATTTTAGACTTTATAAAACTGTATATAATGTACATATACTTTAAAGATATGGTGAGGTTTGTTTACTGAAAAACTTTTAAAATGTTATTTATGTTGAATAAATAATATTGTTATCTTACGAGAGGAAGTTTTTGACTCGAGCAATGTACGTGATCTATAGAAATATTTACGGATTAGGGTTGATATTGGATACATAATTTCATGAAATGTTTCACCATATTCAACAACTGTTGTGTATTATTGTATGCATAGGTTTCGACTTCTCTCAGCCAAGGCACGCGTGTAGTTTCTCTCAACTGTTTGTTTGGTATTTAGGCATTGTTTGCTTAAAATGTTAGCAAAGTCGATAGTATTTTAAAACCAGTAGTCATGTAGGTGGGATTGAAAGATCCTGCTGTGTCATTAATCATTATTCATTAATTGCCAACAATGTGTTTAAATGAATCACGCCAACAATGTGTTTAAATGCCGGGAAATCCAATGTTGAAAGACAGTGTCTTCCCTTCAACCAAAAGCAAAATATCTAAATCGTGGTTCCCTCACGTTTGATAATAATTGTTTTTGTATACACTAAATTTTTAAAATTATGCACAGAATTTCAGCTCCTATAGATTGAAACTAGTTGATATAGCAAATGTTTCATGCGATGAAAGAATCTGTCAACATTGTGATTTAAACGTGATCGGAAACATAGTTAGTGAATCTAGTCTCTTTAATTTGTAAATTTAATATCTTTTGAATATTCAATGTACCAATATTGGTGTCTCGGAGACATATGAAGTTGTTATTATAAACAGAGAATCTTGTATAGCTATGTGGCTACGTATCTTCGTTGAAAAACAACTCGATGACAATGATCTGATAACCAGTTTAATGCTAAAATAAAGTGTTGCCGTTTGTTGCTCTGAACATGTGTTTAAATTTTTTACCAAATCACCAACATACCAATTGTATACCCATCTATATCAGTCAATGAAGGTATAAATTTTCCCAGATATGTGAAAACGATCATGTTGCATGAACTATATTTAAATTAATCAAGATATATTAAATTATTTTTTTTCTTCATATATCCATAGTAACATTAATACACATAACAAGGAAAAACGTTTTATAAAGGTCGCTTTTATTTGATGCTATTTTTATAGTTTGTATTAATCAGTAATTATCATAACCTCTAAACCTGTAAGAATGCATATAAATGCATTGAATTACAAGTGCCGAAAATCACAAAATGCCGAAACGTGTTCATTACCAAAAAAGCAAACATTTTATGTAGATTGACCCCCCACAAAATCGTAACTGCCTTTCACTTTTGGTGAAACCATTGCTATATTGAAAATTTTGAAATTAGTCATTATGTTACATATACTAAGTAAATAAAATACGTTTAAATATTGTCCATGTATGCATGGCAAATATAAATTACAACGGTGAACAATTATGAAGCAGATATATAATAAATATGCATGACAATACAGTTTAGGTGACTGGCTGTTTTTAGTTTTAACAGCAGCACATTCAAAAGTTGACTATGTAAAACCTATTCATCGTAAAATATACCCTAGCCTAAATATACGCCAGCCACCACCGGCACTGGATCTTGGCTAACACCCGTGGTGGCTGTGTTTAATATATCAAGGATTAAGTTATTGTTTTGACTTCGTTATCATGATATAGACAATATGATAAAGAATATGAGATCTGATATATTCCAGGTATATTCATTGTGATTAATACAACACATTTACTAGTGTTGTATCTCAGTTGTCGATAAGCATAATATGATGTGGCAATAGTCATTATAGTCAATATATTAACATTGTTAAAAATTCAAAGAACTTCGATGTATCAAAAAGCGATCAACAATTAAGATATACGCAACACATAAGCTTCAGAGCTGCCCTGTATAGGGATATATCGCAAGGTAAATCACAGGCCATGCAGAGTTAACATTTGCTTTCATTTTGTGGTGAAATTCAAAGCCCTAAGCATATTGTCGTAATGAGTCTAACCTGCCTGGTTTCATGGCGTGAATGCCCCCCGATGCCAAAATAAGAAGACCCCAAAACAACGAAGGCGACATACCTTTCTTCGAGACTTTCAAGACTCGGCAATATTCCTTTAAACTCCCTCAAAGGTAGGATTAAACGCGAGTACTTCCCAGTCAATTGACAAAGAAGGCTAATAGGTCGAATTTATAATACGCTTCACCTGATCTCACACAAGAGTCGAGACTATCGCGTCGACTCCGAGTATAGATATTTAAATTTTGTGTACAGTTCAATAATTTTCTGTGCTGGGCGTACCAAGCTCTAGATCTGAAGCTCTAGTTCACGATCAAGCAATTAACTCGATCCTTTCTGTTACGTAATGCTGGTTATATGTTGTAAGGAATTTCAAAACCAATGATTATATTTCAACTTTACTGATTGCGTGAATTATATTGATTGTATTTGTCAAAATCCAATTTACATAAAGATGACAGGTTCTGGGCACGGAAACTAATACCAATCACGCAATTTATTTTGACAATGATATTAAAGTCACTGACGGAATTTTTGCGTGGGTACAACTATAAAACATCCTTTTCATGTACTTTTATAAGCCCTGAAATTTAATCCAACCATTTCCACGTGCTTTAGGGATTGTTCAGTTTAAAAAATCTTATCTCCACGGTGAAAGACAACTCACAAATTTACCAGGAGAGTTGTACATATATGTCCAGGGCGTTCGTTGCGTGTGATGCATGCGAATAAACTTGGCATCCGGTTTCATACCCCGCAAGGTCGCAACGAACGACCAAATCCGCTCAGTCGGGGGTTCCCGGCGGGAACAAGGATCATGTCCAATCAGATTGTGCCTCAGAACCGAGGTTGTGCCTAACTGCGTTCTGACCAGTGGTTCTGATGAAATATGGCTGTTCGCAGCGAAAATATGAATCCTTCAAGATTCAAATCCAATCAGAATGCTCGAAATTTCATTCTAATTAGATGTGGTTGTTCGCAGCGAATAGTCAAATTCAATCAGAAGACTTCGAGTTTATTCTTATTTTATATAAATGTAGCGAATACTAGTGCCAAATTTCAATCAAGATTAGAATTTCTTCAATTTTGTTCCAATTAACTCGCAGTAAAGTCACCTTATGATCAGTTAAAAGCAAGCGTGAAAACCCTCTCTCGAGTTTTATCTTTACCAATTGAAATTTTATCAGTTTAATAATAACGCATAAAAATAAATTCCCACCATTTCCGTTTTTAACTTCCCGGCTTCGAAAGTAAAATTTGTGATCGAACGCGTGCGAAACAGCGCGATACATCGCTCTTGACGTAATATCGAGTTGTTTGGGCATTCACTCGTATGAACTAATCGGTTAAACGATTTTGTAGAAATTTCGATTGTACATTTTACACATTTAATATTAGACCTAACTAGGACCAGTTGACGTCGTAACACCCACCCGAACACCTTTTCTTTATAGGAATACAATATCAAAATATATTTAAAATATTTAGAAATTTGCAAGGCCATTAAATATTTTAAAATTCACTATTTACAAATTTAAACTTCCATGGATATATATACTTGGTCATCTTGGATTTTGGAAGTGTGTTCTATTTGCATGCAATACCTGCAATAAATTAATTATAGATAAGTTTTATGTAGATTATAAAATATTAGAAATTATGATTTTCTGTTCTCGCAAGGACGCAAGGTTGGAAACTTTTTTTTTAATATAAAAAGTATTAAAGATGATATCTGGAGAATTCAATAAAAAAGTATTAAAGATGATATCTGGAGAACTAAATTTTCTTTCGTAAATTTGAATTCAAATTCTCATTTTTATCAGGAGCATTTAACACGAACATGTACTGGGCTGAACTTTGAACTGATAAACTCATAAACATCATTTTGTTGCGCAATTCCAATTCATTAATTAAAACCACATCCAGCAGACAATTTTCCAAAAAAATACAAAAGAAACATACCCCGAATTAAAAAGTCATCTTGAAATTATGTATATAGGGACTAAACAAGACTCTTATAAGACTATGAATTTTCGACTTTTAAAACATCATTTTGTTGCGCAATTCCAATTCATTAATTAAAACCACATCCAGCAGACAATTTTCCAAAAAAATACAAAAGAAACATACCCCGAATTAAAAAGTCATCTTGAAATTATGTATAGGAACTAAACAAGACTCTTTTAAGACTATGAATTTTCGACTTTTAAAACATCATTTTGTTGCGCAATTCCAATTCATTAATTAAAACCACATCCAGCAGACAATTTTCCAAAAAAATACAAAAGAAACATACCCCGAATTAAAAAGTCATCTTGAAATTATGTATAGGAACTAAACAAGACTCTTTTAAGACTATGAATTTTCGACTTTTAAAACATCATTTTGTTGCGCAATTCCAATTCATTAATTAAAACCACATCCAGCAGACAATTTTCCAAAAAAATACAAAAGAAACATACCCCGAATTAAAAAGTCATCTTGAAATTATGTATAGGAACTAAACAAGACTCTTTTAAGACTATGAATTTTCGACTTTTAAAACATCATTTTGTTGCGCAATTCCAATTCATTAATTAAAACCACATCCAGCAGACAATTTTCCAAAAAAATACAAAAGACACATACCCCGAATTAAAAAGTCATCTTGAAATTATGTATAGGAACTAAACAAGACTCTTTTAAGACTATGAATTTTCGACTTTTAAAACATCATTTTGTTGCGCAATTCCAATTCATTAATTAAAACCACATCCAGCAGACAATTTTAATTTTCGACTTTACTTTAAGTCATCATGAGATGACAGTTTTGACGTATGAGACAACGGAAGGAAATGAAACGTGATCCCAAATTTAATATTTAGTTCAGGATGACTGGAGATGTTAATATATTTGTCTCGTATTGTCTTATAGATTTCCTCGACTGCTTATGATGAAACGACAACGACAGTGACAATGTCTGGCTTTTTTCATCGCCTTTTATCCCTGTTATTCTTATGGTTCTACATTGTATGTTTGTGTCACTACTCCAGTCTGGTTTCAGGTAAGGAAGATAAAATGATTCATCAGTATCATCATGGCCTCCAACGTTGTTGTCTGAGAAGCATGATAAGAGTACCACATAGCGAGTGTTGCAAATGTTGTGGCTCAGTAATTGTCTAGAACAATTTTGATATAGTTATTGCTTTTGTGTTTACCCCGTGTAGTGCTTGTATTTCAATTCACCGAATTTACGGTCAAATATACATATTTAATGATAACGTTTGTATATAACACTCGCGTCTCTGACTCGTCTAGAATAACTAGACGGAGATGAAAGCAGTCTTTGTTTATGAATTTATATACGGTGCAATTATATTGTTGTGTGTGCAGGACATTGATGTGATTCTATAAATGAACTGTTTGTTGTTAATCTTGAATGGTTTGCCAGTGTAGGTAGTGTAATAACAAGCTTTCGTTGATAGGGATGCAACTACCTGAAAATATAACAACAATTTCGACGTTGAAATTCTCCTAAAATTTTCTAGATAGTCGCATCCCTACAAACGACAGCTTGTAACCTTGTTTGTTGTTAATCCTATATATTTGCATATATTTTATTGGAGAGATGCCTTGCATGGGTAGTGTAGTATATTAATTGAGTTCCCGTTCGCCACCTTTCCATTTGGGTATAAATTCTTTTGTGTACCTAGTCGTAGTTTTTGTCCTAAATTTGTAAATGTAATTTGTGATTTACAAGTGTAAAGAAAGAAAAAATCTGTGCGGTTTCATTTTGAAACCAGTAGCTGATGTCGGAAACTATGTGATATTGTGTCTGCAGTCAGAAAAGATGGAATCAGAACATATCTGTAAATGATTCACATTGACGTGAACCTTTGAACTGATGTTGTACTATAACATATTTTACTATTGCAGCTGTGAAAAGGTGGTAACTAGCTTGCCAAGTAGGTCTGTCAGGAAAAATAGGCTGTATCTTTTGATGTATAATGATTATCACGAACTATCATGGTTACAAAATAAACGAATTTTCTTGGATTCAAATAAACAAACACTGCAATATTTTATCTAGGCTGCACAACCAGTACAATCATCTCTGTACATTTTTTAATCCGTTCCGGAATAAGGCGGGATTAAACTAATCACAAAGGGTAAAAGTCTGTCTACTTTTGGTCTGGCGGCTAAGGTCTATCGTCCAACGGTTTAAAAAATGTGAAGTTCGAACCAAGTGCAGACTTTGGTGGAACTATATTTAGCAGAGGAGAGGACAATACCTGGCTATTACGAAACAAAGCATGACAGCAATAGCAGCTATTAAATTTCATTATCTGTTGACCAAACAACAAGATTAGAAAACTAAAATAGCATTCAGAGAAACAGAATATATTGACTATTGTACAAGAATTTCATCTTGAGGTATAGGAATCTCCACGGAAGTTGAAACATATTAAAATTTTAAATTTGGGTGAACAATCAGTTGGAAGATTTTAATAATCGCGATACATGATATCGTGATAAATGATATCATATATCAGATGATCAATGATGATGCGGTTATGGTATCTCCCGCGGGCTACTCGGGGTCAAAGGCAGAATTACGCAAGATACCTTGTGGGGATAATTGTTCAGTGCAGTGAGGAGTTTTCATTACTGCTACGTCCCCCTCTCCCCATGCCCCTCAATCTGCTAAATATTGCGCAAGTTTTCCACCAAATTGCCTTCAGAGGAGGCTACGGTAATGGTAGCCTTCATGTCTACATACCTCTTTATTAGTTCCAGTTGTCAACAATGTAATTAAAGAAATAAGTTCTAAAACAAAAACCGAAAAAATGCAAACATCTTGAAATCCTAAAAGACTAAATTTACGTCTTTTTTAGTCAACGTGTAGTCATTTTTCGGGTTTTTTGTTTTATAATTTAGTTCCAGATGGCAAATGGTAAAAGTTCAAATGTTTCACTTATCAATATTTACGGGCTGGAAGTAATTCATTTTAATTATAGGCATACGGAGACCACGTCCAGCATTTCTGAAGCATTTTTTGACCCTGAATATCAGATGAAGAGCGGACATGTTCGAGTAGTATACAGAAGTACTCCTGTCAGTCAATAATTAGAAAACGTTCATAACTTCAATAGTCTGATAATCCTAGTACTTACCATAACCAAAAAAGGCAAAATCGCCTTTTGAAACTTAGCAACCCCTCGTGATCTTCAAGAACTTCAAGACTCATTGAATGAATCCATGCGGTTTATGTAGAAAGAATTATATAGAAGAAAACAAAACAGACAAAATAAATTTTAAACATAGACAAAATAAATTTTAGACAAAATAAAACATTTTGTAAATATAGTTTACACACGTAAAAACGCACAAGTTGTTACAGGTCTGTGAACAAGTAAACAAGTTGTGTTCGCACTGCTTGTTCCCAGTTGTTGTAACAAGTTTGGAACAAGCTGTTAACAAATTGTAACAAGCTTGATGGCGTTATCAGACTCGTTACAAGGTTCTAACAAGTCTGATACAGTCATGATATAATAAGAATGTTACAAGGTTGACGACACAAGGCGACGACGTTATATCATGACTGTATCGGACTTGTTAGAACAACCTTGCCACAAGTCTGATATCAACAAGGTTGTTACAAGTTGTTAACAGCTTGTTCCAAACTTGTTGACAACTTGGGACAAGCAGTGCGAAGACAACTTGTTGACGGCTTGTTGGCAGACTTGTTACAAGATGTGAGATTTTTACGTGTGTAGATGAACAACAAAAATAAACTTTCAAGACTGTTATCAGTTAATGAACCATTAATTAAAATGCATGGACAACGGTTGGATTTTTAAAACAATTTATAGTCTGATCACTGGATCCTGACTGAATGGTGCTATTGTTATTCTACAGTAAGTATTATGCTAAGATGACATGCATGAACTCTAATCTCTTTCATTTTAGGAACAACAAGAGACAATTTCGATGCAAGACTAAGTCTGGTAGAATATCTTACAAATAATTCGGAAATAGTGAGGGAAATTCTTCCAGCTCCCGACATCAATACACCAGTGAATGTTAAATTTAGAATCAAATTACGTCAAATTGCGACTGTGGTAAGACTCCATTTAATGTCTTTAATTAATATAACTGCTGTAAAGAATGTTACGCAATAGCAGCTGACTTTCACTGAACGCAAAGTAATGCAGTCCAAGTTATCAAGAATGAGAAAATAATCTTAACTCGTTTTCAGAAAATGTTGCCCTTTTGTATGTGGAAGTTAAAAAATGGAATTGAGAGATCTAATTCAATTTGTTTCCTCTAAGTGTCAAAATTCCAGAGGTTAACTATTAGATGCTGCCCTGCCTGTATAAATACATACTCAACCTACCAATTCTCTAACTTCCTTCACCACAGGATGAGAAAAATCAAGCAATTCGTCTAACAGTTTGGCTCAGATTTGATTGGAATAATCCGTTCTTAACGTGGGATCCTGCGGAGTATGGAGGGATTGAAAGTGTTCATGCTAATCATGACCTTTTCTGGGTGCCTGATGTTGCATTGTTTAATGAGTGAGTTCTATCTCCCTGTTTCTTGCTCTGTCAGCCTAGGAAACATTTCAGCTGAGTTACTTCAATTTCCCAGCCTGCCCACACGAAATATTACTGCAGTAACAAAATTTGCTTCCCAGGAAGAAAAAATGTTTCCTAACAAATTCGGATTTAACGTTTCCCAAGTGTGATTTGTTTAAGGTCCTGTCACACTATTGCGTATGAGAGAAACGTACGAGTAGCGTATACACACCAAACGTCTGCATACGCACAAAACTTTCTGCCTCGCCGTATCCATGCGTATGTCATTGTGCTTGAAACGTGTACAACCTATGCCTAACGTACCCCTAGTGTATGATTGATATTTTCCATACGCTGATATACGCAATAGTGTGACAGGGCCATCACCTTCAGGAAACATGGCTAGGAAACAATGTTCCCTGGTTTGTCGACTCTCAGGAAATATCGCTGAGACCCTAGCTGGCTTCCGAGGTTGGAAGGAACAATGGTTCCTATGTTTATACATGCAGGACTTACCAGACTGGTCTAGTGTTCGTGCAATATAACATTGCTTTACATATAATAGTTTTAATTCACTATTTCAGAGCAAGTCTTGAGGAGGAGATACAAATTCTCTACAAACGTTTAGCGACAAAACTAGTCATCCAAAAAGATGGTAATTGCACGTGGAATGCTCCAGCTACATTGTTAAGTCAGTGCAAGATCAATGTATCCCGGTTTCCGTTCGACGAACAAGAATGCCATGTTTCTATTGGCTCTTGGACGTATACGGGGTATAAAATTAACATGACCTACTTCGAACAGAATGCCGACTTAAGTAATTTTATTGAAAATGGAGAATGGGAGGTCAAAAGCGCGCTTTTGCACAACAGAATGAAGCACTACGGTTCAGAGAAGATTCCCTACCCAGATGTTACCTTAACGTTGAAAGTACAACGACGTTCATTATATTATGGGCTGAATATAGTCATCCCTTGTGCATTAATCGCGGTTTTAGCTTTATTTAGTTTTGTGTTGCCTTCTGATCACGGTGAACGAATGTCGTTGGTCATCACCGTTCTCCTCGCACTCTCGGTCTACATGTTAATCGTGTCATCTTCGTTACCGGAAACCTCCGATGCTGTACCGACTCTTGGGATCTACTGCCTTGGCATTATCATAACAATCGCGCTGTGTTTGTGTGCAACATGTATAACTTTAAAATGCCGGGACATGAAGTCTCCCATGCCGCATTGGCTGGAGGTAGTGGTTATTCAATATATGGCGAGATTTGTCTTGGTGAAAATTGAAGAAGAAAATATGCGTCCTTCGTTGAGTACTGACAGAATTTCAGTCTCCCTGAATAACGAGAAGTTCACAAAGATACCAGAAGCAAACGCCGAAAGCGGGCAAGAACCAAACACCGAAGATATGTCGCTACTGGTTATGAATGAAAAACAATCAAAATGTTTTGAAGATGCTTTGCTCGAAGAAGTACGATTGCTCACGGAGGAGTTACGCTCGAAGCAGGAGGAAGAAGCCTTTGCAAAAAAATGGAAAAAAGCAGCGAAAGTTCTTGACAGATTTTTCCTGTTGAGCTTTTTACTAGTCTACGCTTGTTTGATTGCCTATCTTCTGTCTTCAATGTGAGTATCTGTTGCTGTATAGAGCAGCAGATTCTGGTCGACAACAAAATGCATAGTACGTCAACTTTGTAACTTCAGTCGTTCGGCCTATAACGTGAAGCAAATAGTTTTCATGCCATTTTCCCTAGCTAACTCCAGTTGTTTTTTTCTAACGGACCATATCGCTAACGAAGTTATCAGTTCGTAAAACCATAGTGTTATTCTTTAAATCGAAGTCAAAATACGAAATTTCGGCACACTCCTTGCCAGTTTCGTGTTAACCGCGCAGATTGAAACTATAGAAAGAGACTGGAACTGACGTCCAATCACTGCGTCCAATAGAGTTCGGTTAGCACTAGTTTACATCTGTGAAATTGACGTGACGTCATTTTCAGAAGATGGTAGGGGTGTTAAATGGCTATGTAACTAACCCAAACCCTGCCCCTACTCTAACCCCTAACCCTAACCGCAACCCTAACCCTAACCAAATTAATGAAAAAATCCAGAAAGAAACAACTTTAGAAATTGATCAAATTACGTAATGTCAGTTTGGTAGATGGAAACTAGTGAAAACCATAGAGTTCACTGCGTCCAATAGATCTTCAATTTCCGCCATCTTTGTCTTCCCTTTTTGGACTCGAGATCTCACTCCAGATATATGTAGAGAGCTCCCAAGAATTAGCATTATTTTCTCACTCGACTATAGCTACCAATAGATAGTTAGGCATAAATTATATAGTCATATCAAAATAGAGATTTTATTATAAAGGAGAAATTCCTAAACCCGACTTATAGTGGATTTAATATAAGTTTTTAGTCGCATTAAAATTGGGGAGTTTTATATCAGCGTCTTGTAGTTTTATTAAGTTTTTAAATCTATAATTAATGTAAAATTTTATAATTTGGAATAAATAAATCTAATATAACTATAACTATCGGTGTTTTATAAATCCATTCATCCTAGGATGTGACAGGTAAAATAGTTTGGCGGTAGCATAAACCGCTAACCACCGCGCGCTAACTAGGACAGTTTTAACGGGGGATCTGCTCAACCCTCCAAAATCCCCAAAAATCATTAACTTTTTTCAATAAGCTTTTATATATATATATATAATATATATATATATATATATATATATATATATATATATATATATATATATATATATATATATATATATATATATATATATATATATATATATATATATATATATATATATATATATATATATATATATATATATATATATATATATATATATATATATATATATATATATATATATATATATATATATATATATATATAATGAGTGACAAGGAACGAAATCTGCCTCAGCCTTTTGAACATTAATAATATTATACAAAATAAAGGGCACGACCAAAAGAAATTAGAATATATAATTTAAAAATTTTTATTTTTTTTTAATTATATTTGTTATTATAATTATATTATAATTATATATATATTCTAATTTCTTTTGGTCGTGGCCTTTATTTTGTATAATATATATATATATATATAACAAAGTTTTGTTATTGCAGTAGATTAAAGAGTGCTCAATACAAAAATTTGTAGAGCAATATTTATTTAATCATATACCATTTTTAAGATTAAATAAATATATATATATATATATATATACTATTTAAAGCACGCGTAGGAGTGTTTTATCACATTTATCACATTTTATTTATCACATTTTATCACAAACACGACTACAAGTGCTTTAAATAGCTTAAAAAACGACTCATCTTATACGAGTTCATTGGCGAAGTAATTTTTAAAATAAACTTTGTGTAAACCGAGAAAATCAAAGCTAAAGTTTATGTACATTAACGTGATTTTTTATCACATATAAAACCACGACACGCTCATGATTTTTCTTTGTGTTTTGCTCCTGAATTATTAATGAGTTTTTTAAATATATATATATATATATATATATATATATATATATATATATATATATATATATATATATATATATATATATATATATATATATATATATATTCTGCTCATAACAAAGGGGGACCCCTAGATATTAATATTGCCCAAATTTTGTATCTTTCGAACTTTTTTGAATTGAAACGTAGAGTTTATATTCATTTACAAGCATAGCGAACCAGAAAAGTGTTAGATATTCAGTTAGTATATCATATTTGACAAATATAGCAGTTCAAAATGTAAACAAAGTTCACGCATGTTCACAGGGGTGGACATCTTTAAGATTTCAAGTAGCCATATGAACTCAGGTTAATTTCGAAATCAGGTTAATGGTTAATTTCGGAATTGCGAACATATCCAATTATTCGGTAACAACTATACACTCCGATTAATTACTCCGGGTACTGTAAGTACCGGAATTTTAAAATGGCAGATCTTTTTCTTGGGTGAAACATTTGAAAGTTTTTTTCTAACTTAATAAAAGTTAATGTATAATGATAATTGGAATTTAAACAAATGAAAATTTGGCAAGAGTATAAAAAGTTCACACAGGCAGCAAGATAGAAAACAGTGCAATTCTTGAACAAAAATTCCTTCATCTTTCAATGAAGTTTAATTTAATACTTTGCTCGTTTCTATAAGGAGAAGTTACACATTTGAAATATCTTTTATTCGGTACTTTTTCTTTGAATTCATGATGAAGCCAAGTTAGAATATAGTTGGAATTTCAAGCCGATACTTTATTCTATACAAATGCATCAACATCTGATATTCTGATTGTCACAACATGGTGGTCCAACTCTATTGAAAAGGCATTGAGCAGATAAAAACATAGATGTGCACTCTGACCTTTGGAATCAATTTCTGGCATTTCCAACGTCGCATTGTTGACGTTTTAAAATTGTATTTCCGGTTGAGATAGCTCGCGGTCGGGCCAGAAAATATGGAAATTTTTATATACCGTGATAAAACTAAAACTCTAAAAGATATACAAATTTGAAGATACAAGCTCGAAAATATAAACACTCCACACAGTGTTATTGATAATGATTCGAACAAGAATATTGCAATGAAGATACGTCCAAAGGGGCCGAAGTTATGTTCGGCGAAAGGTATGGCTAGTTGCCTAGTTTATATTTTTGATCAGACAATTGCGTAATTTGATAATATACGATCTCGCTTGACTTTCAAAGCCCATAAATCGCTACAATGTTGATAATGACTAAAACTATTGTGAGAATTAGTTGATATTGTTTCACTGAATCGAATGGTGGTATTATACAGACAATACAGTATGTCTATGCACTGAACCGAAGATATGAACATACAAAGTCGTCGACTCGTCGAGAAAGAATTCAGGCAATTGCGTTATTTGATAATATATAGCTTGATCATAAATCGCTACAATGTTGATAATGATCAAAACTATTAGTATTGTGCACTGAACCGAAGATCTGAACATACAAAGTCGTCATCCTCTCGATTGTGCACTGCCGCTGAACCGAACGTCCTGGCGTCTCTCCTCCGCAGAGGCTTTAATTAATTGACTGCGCTCGTGTTCCAAGATCCGCCATGTAAAGTGTA